TGACTTCGATGGAGGAGCGACTGAAGCTGACAAAGGCCAGCACCGCGGCGAAGGTGGATGCAACACTATACCGAAGCATCATCGGCGATCTACGCTACCTAGTCCACACAAGGCCGGACATTGCGTTCGTTGTGGGCTACGTCAGTCGCTTCATGGAAGATCCCAGAGAGGATCACTGGGCTATGGTGAAGCAGCTATTACGCTACGTCAAGGGGGCGGTAGATCAGGGGATCATCTTCCCAAAGACCGGCGAGAGTAGGCTGTAGCTCACTGCGTTCAGCGATGCAAACATGGCGGGGGACATCGACGGATGGCGGAGCACCTCTGGAGTGCTCGTCTTCCTCGGGTCGGCTCCAATCTCATGGTTGTCACTGAAACAGAAGGTGGTGGCACTATCTACGTGCGAGGTAGAGTACGTAGCGACGGCCACAGCGGCGTGCCAAGTTGTGTGGCTGCGCCGGCTGCTGGGCGAGCTGACCGACGTGGAAGCTCACCCACCAACACTGATGGTGGACAACCAGCCCGCCATCACCCTCGCGAAGAATCTGGTTCTGCACGATCGGAGCAAACACATCGACATGAAGTTCCACTTCCTCAGGGACCGTGTCGATGGAGGGCATATCGTCATCAAATTCGTCAAAACTGGTCGGCAACTCGCGGACGTCCTCACCAAGCCGCTCGGACGTCTTTGACTCACGGAGCTGAAGGAGATGATCGACATGGAGGGGGTACAAGGGATAGCAGTAGGATTAGGGGAAGAATTGTTAGATAATCTACTGTTTTTTGTGTGAACACACAGCAAGGGAAGGCGACGCCGAAAATGCCCCCTGCTGTGGTACTGTAGCCGATGTAGAGGCAGGCGCCGAACGGCTCACCTGCCGGACTGTAGCCACATGCAGGGACAGACGCAGAAGTCAGTCCTGCTGTGTTATCTAGTCACTGTTGCAGCAGGGCAGCTGTACTAGGACTAAATGGATAGAGTTGTATATATAGTTTGCCGCTGCAACTCAACAAAGAGAGTTCAGATTTACCATCTCCTATACAGGGCTCCGGCCAACGCTGGTGTTGTGTGTATGCTCTGTTCTCCCTCTTCTTCAACCTCTAGCCATAGTGTGTATGCTCGGACAACGCTTGTTCGTGGTCGGCTTAGCTAGTGAGTGCTCCGCAACACTAGCGGGTGCTCGGCAAGACTGGTGAGTGGTCAACTCACCTGAGCCGGTGATCCTATGGGCTAACATCTTCCAAACAAAACTGAAAACTATCTAACAAGAAATGCTCCCGAAAAACCTTCTCTTACTTTGTCAAACTATCTGCATCCTTTCCTTAGATATGCCTTTCAAATCTGAAAAGAACAGTGAAAAGAAAAGGAAGAGAATAAATGTTGGCCGGAATTTTATAGCTCCTAGGCAATGCTACTCCAGATACAATTTAAGTGTCAGATGTGTGTGACTGCCTTATTACAAGATAAAACTCTACAGTTAAGACCTTGCATAGTCAGTACAGAGTGAATTTAGGAAAAACAAGTCATATCAATAATTAGCATGCATGCATAAGAAATTTCTTATGAACAAGCTATATGACACACATTGATTTTTGGCTCGCAATTAAACACTACGCCCGAACCAATCGCAATTACAGGCAAATTTCTGGCAAGCAGTACATAATACCTTCATAATGTTACAGTTCAAAGTCAAAATTGTTAATGTTAAGCATATCATAGTTTTTAACTAAGCTTTTGATGGAGTCACCAAATGGAAGAACCAGCATAGCTCAGCTTGGTATAAAACTCATGATATAATTGGCATAATTGAACCAAGAAAATATAATGAAATATACCAGTTATCCAACGATAGTCGTAGCTGTGATTTTTCATCCTTAGTACATTTGTAAGTATTTTTTAGGTCTTACAGGAGTCACTATGATCATGAATTTTATAAACATGAGACTAAAGAAAAATAATCTTATAACACAAAGTTATGTAGCATAATAAGAAATCTAAAGTAGCATGCCACCAAGCATGTAAAATAAACTTCTCTGAAAATTAGAATATATTCAGACTGATAGAACATTTAGGTGTTTTATTTATCAAAAGATAATTGATGAGCATATGGATTTGGCAAGCATAGGTCTTGAATCGAAGAAATGAAAGGAAGTAGCATAGCATCAAGCAGGTAAAGTAAACTATTCTGAAAATTCTAGTGACGAGTAACAGAATATTTATGAAGAGAAAATTTTTGGACATTTGTCTACATGTCAGTTAAGCCTACTTGCAAGCACAAACAAGTAATGGTATAGGACATAGAGCTGCAGAAGAGTAAGCATATCCTAATTTGTAGTGCCAGGATGAATTCATATAACCTATATTATGAGAATGGTAATACTTAAATTATCCAAGAGTCGTTCTTCTTAGTTTTTATTGACCAGCTTGTGCACAGCACCTTGCTTTCACCAACCAATATTGAGCAAGCATCGTGAGGCACAACTTGCAGTAAGTAGATTAATAGAGAGAACATGGGTAATTTTGGGCAAGTAAGCAACAGGAGGCGATGTGAGTTCATACAGATAGTGGCTGCCTAGCGCGACGGCGGTGTGCTTACTTGCACGTCTGTGTTTGGCAATTCACTGCATGGGCTTGGCCATCGTTCCTAAGAAGCATTATCAATGGCCATGACAGCTAAGAGAGAGTGACGTGGCTTGACTGACGAGCACAATGGATGCAGCTACCACAAGCAATTATCCTCAGCGCATCCTTGCACTTGTGTCGTTCGCTGAGCATGCCGATGGAATGGTCATGAGCGTGGCGAACTTGGTGTGCTCGCAGATGCCCGCGCCGGTGCTTGTGGTTGAGCGCAGCAGCGTGAGCACGTTGTCCAAGCAAGCGGAGGCGGAGGCAAAGCCAATGAGGGATATTATCGAATTACAGTGCTCCGAACATGCATTTCGTCGAACACCTTGGGGTCATCCCTCGTTGCTGCATCCTGCAATAGGCATACAATGCGATGATGATCTGAAGGGGTTTCTTGGAGAGTGGAGACAATGGCGTAGAGCTCCATACGTGGATTCGGTCCCGAAGCCGCGTTGGCCTTCCGTCAGCGTAGCGCCGCTGCTGTGGAGCAGTCTGCAGCGACATCACCGTCGTCATCGAAGACGTACGCGATGGTGTGTTTCAGCCGTACACCGGCGTTCCAGGCGCCGAGAGATGTAGGGTCCTCTTAGGATTCTTTTCTCACCGAGCTCTTGTACTGCGCCGCCGTCACGTTGATCTTCAACCTCGTGAGCTATGGACGAACGGCGGTCCGTTTTGTGCGGTAGAGGAGGGTGGCCTGTGGATGAGGACACGGCGGCAGTGATGGAGGAGCGGGGTACGCTGGGAGGCGGCGCGCTGGCACGAGGAAAGAGAGACGGCCTTCTTCGGGACGAAGGCTCTGGAAGCTGATGAAAGTGGCCGCTTCTGGACGGCCTGATAGAAGATCGGTCGATGGAAAATACAAGGCGACGTGGCCAAATCACGTGCAAGAGAGTCTGGTGTAACTTTCGTCTTGTAAATAAAAGATTGGTCGGCTGCGTGACTGCGTCTGGAGAATCACGGCGAGGTCGGCTCTTTTGTGTCCAGATGTCAGATTCGTGTGAATTCCTCTGAGTTTGCCGCTTCTCGAGGACATGGAGCCGGCGCGGAGGTGTTCAGGAGGACGAATGAAGCGGCACTGGCCCTCGGGTAAGCCTGTTCCGCCGGCAGCTCCAGAACCTATGGTCGAATCTGGCGGCGTCCACCCTCTGCGGCCTGAAGAATTACGCGATCGAGTGATGTAACAAAATTATACAACTCTCAGATTGGTTGACGATATGCAAAATATAGATGATGCTACTCTCTTTGGTTAAGAGTGGTTCATTGTAACAAAATATGTGTGTGTTGGTCAGTGGAAGCATTGTAAATTGGAATACACATGCATGCATGCATACATCAATCTTCAATTCTTAGAATAGAAGAATCGAACTGAACTTAGTATATATACTAGCTATAAACCAAAGTACTACAAATGATCGTTGCAGGTGGTGAAAGAATAATTGTGTACAATCACTACTACTACTACCTGTCATTCTCAGAACCGAAAAGTCCTAGGTCCAGTTTAGTTGCAAAAAAAAATTTGCAAAATTTTTCAAGATTCCCCGTCACATCGAATCTTTGGACGCATGCATGAAGCATTAAATATAAATAAAAAATAAAACTAATTACACAGTTTAAACGAAATCCACGAGACGAATCTTTTAAGCCTAATTAGACTATAATTGGACACTAATTGTCAAATAACAACGAAAACTGCTACAGTACCATTTGCCAAAAAAAAATTTGGCATCTAAACAAAGCCCTACTCAATCAGCACTGTGCGAACCTACGATCTTCAGAAAACAAATTGATCTTCTCCTAGCATCTTTCTTGCCCAAGTATAGTCCCGATTACATGTGATAAATTGATGATAGCTATATAAAAAAGCAGTAGTGATTCAACAGAAATTGCAGACAGTGTCAAATGACCAAAGGACATAGGTTTATTATATCATGTCGTTTCCACAGAGCTGGGGCTGTGTAGCTCCCCATGGCTCCAGCAAAGTAGCATATCAGCTTGGATATCATACCACAGGAGCCCACAGTAAAGGCGCCCCAAACGACAAGATGACAGTCGAAAACAGAACCACAAGGAAGAGACTAATTTGCTGAGATTCAATTTCTGTTATTACCTGTAGAACTGCAGAAATGTTTCAGAAAACTGATACAAACACCGCACATGTACAATTTACAGAGACTCAACTAGACAGGTTTATAGCCAAGTAATAATAACCCAGTAGTCTCCTTTTGTCCTGTATGTACCAACTCAGCAATACACAGAATTTTCGAGGCAACAGCAAAGACCAAACATAAGAGGACTGGACAGAGCTGAAAAAGTGATATCTCAGGCTTCAAACTATTCTGAACAACTAATTGCAGACCACTAGTTTCCGCCTTCAGGGTTTTGGCGCTGAGAACAAGTTGGGATAGGAGAAATATGGATCGTCCTCCAAAGATGGTGACCTCTGAGGCACACGAGATGGCACATAGTCCTGTGTATCATTGGTAAAGGAGTCCTGGTGATCAAATACTGGTTTCTGTGTCCCCTCAGTCTGATGATGTCTTTCCTTTTGGGCACTATCGCTGTACTTGTTATAGACATTGGAATTCTTCTTTAGATCTGCAATGCGCAGTTGAGCAAGGTTTGCAGCAGCACGGGCTGCTGATGCAGCTCGCTCAGCTGATTCAGCAGCTGTCTGAGCAGCAGATAAAACGTCATCCAAGTCAATATTTGCCCCTCTCTCAGGAGGAGAGTTTGTCTGTGTTTGCTCTGACTGTTTTGTGAACATATATTCCGTGGGAGGTACTGGAGGTGTGGTCACTTCATCAATTTTCTTTGTGTAGATCTCTGGTTCTGGCTCTGTTGGCTTCACTGGAGGAGACAGAGAAGGTGAGGGAACTGTCTCGGTTTTTTCCACTGAAGAAGGAGCAAAAACTGGCGGTGGAGATGCAAAAGGAATAAATTGCTTCTTTTCATTTGGAAAATCTGGTATGTCTGACTGAGAAGATGGTGCAGAAACAAGATGTTCCAAGCTTTTCATCTGAATAACATTAAAAGCACCACCAGCTGTTGGATTCTCCTTCAAGTCAGTAGGATCTGAGAACTCATGAGGAAGTGACTGAGAGCCCTGAACATGTGGACCGATATCTGGGGTCAACGGTGCATCAGAAGGTGGACGAATTGCAGCTTTTGGGACTTCAGGCAAATCCAGTGAATCAAGACCGGTATCTGACTCGTAGTCTTCATCAGGCTGCTCAGCAGCACTTGCAGCTACTGTTTCCTCATGTTTCTCCTTGGGAAGAGGTAGCATGGAGCCATTGAAGTAGGTCGGTCCATTCTAAGAAGGGAAACATAGCATCAAGTAAGACTCGAATCATTGAACTAACCATGTTAGTCACGAGTCAATATGTATTTACCAATAGATCCTCATGAGGTTTGAGAAATTCTGTCTCTGCATCTGATGGATCCCAATCAACTTCATGTTCCTCAGCTATCTCCTTCAGCAGTTTCAACTTGGCATCAACAGGAGGAGGACGAATAGAAAGTAGTTCAATTATCTGCAGAAGCATTAATTCTGATATGTTACGAATATCCAAACTACCGGATAACATGATTAGATTCATTCAAATTCAAAGTGTCATATAACCTGACGATTGACCCCACAATCAGGCATCAACTCTGAAGCTGCAGCAACAAATTCCTTCCCATATTTAGTCGCAAACATCATTTGAACTTGCATCAGTTCAGGTAGATCTGCACATCTTGGAGCAGCAAAGCAGATGCTTGAAATTGCTTCTTTGAGATCAATAGGACACTCCCTGAAGCCAAGAAAACAAGGAAACACAAATCAGTCACACTCATCTGCAACTCTACAGAATTTTTAGTCAGAAAAAAGCTAATCAATTTTATCAACTAATATAGCCCATTTATATTTAAGAGCAGGAATCGTATCCCTGCTTTATACTTCAAGATAGTACACCCTAATAAAAAATTGCAGCAGCAAAAAATTATTATTAGTAACATCCTTGGAGTTCAGATTAAATTGATTTGTGTCTACGAACAAATAAGGAATATAAGAATGCAGAGGGTATAAGTACGAAGATAACTTGCCCCTGATGCCAAATGAACATATAGCAAAGTAATGATTATCTTTAGGGTCCAAGTCTTTGTTAAAAACACATTAGTTGTTACAGGCAGGTTGGCCTATAACGGAATGGAACAAACACAGCCATAATCCACTATAGCAGTGAAGCAAGATTAGGTGTTACTGTTCGCCATGGAAAACTAACCCACTATACAAACACTAAGGTCTCGTTTGGATGCGCATGTATTCGTCTCAATCCACATGTGTTGAAGTGGATTGGAATGGAATTGAACTAAATTCCATTCCATTCCACTCCAACACATGTGGATTGAGGTGGATACACATGCATCCAAACAAGGCCTAAAGAAATCTATCTACCATCATAAAGTTCAATAGTGGTGGTTTACCAGTGGCACGCCATGTTGAGCCACAAAATTAGCACCAACTGACCATAATGGGAGATTACAGTGAGACATTGCTAATTAGTCGTCTCAACACATTAAAGAGGGCACAATGGACAGTTCTTGCCCAACAAAAGTACATGTCAACAAGCCACTGGAACTCCCAAGCCAGCTGCTGGTCCAGCACAGTTTGCCATATCAAGAGGGGCAATAAAGCTACAGCTAGTTTTGATTGCAACACCCGTAGCCACATGAACAAGCAAATAGCGACTGCAATTACGAGTTGTAAAATTCAAGTCAGATAGGGGGACGAACTTTTGGGCCTCGATGATGGGCAGGCGCACGGCGATGAGCTCGCAGAAGAGCTCGAGGATCTCCTGCGCGGCCATCATGTTCTCCTCCCGGATGATGTGCTCCACCTGCCGCAGCCGCAGTTTCCAATCAGCCACAGCCAAGCCAAAAAGCCCCCGACCCAACCCTACTCCGATCTAAGCAAATCCCCTGACAACGAGGAAGCGTACCCTGATCCGAGCGGTGGCCTCCTGGCCGGCCTCGAGGAGCTTGGCGATGTCGCGGCGCATCTGGCGCAGCTGCAGCTCCCGCCGGTTCCGCAGCAGCTTTATCCGCGGGATCGACAGCTTCAGCAGCGTCTTGCTGCGCACACACACACCGACACACGACATCAGAACGCCGCGCCTCTCAACTCCAAGAAGATCCCCAGAAGAAAAGGGGGGAAGAAAAAAGAAACGCCGCGCGTACCACTTGGCGCCGCGGAAGCCACCGCCGCCGCCGCCGCCCTTGCTGAAGAAGGCGTCCAGCATCGACATGGCGCACCGTCGTCGTCGATCGGACGCGGTGTGAGGGGAGGGGAAGGAGGGAAGCGAGGGTTTGCTTGATGGATCGGGTGGCAGCGGGGGATTTATGCGGCGTGGGGGTTCGATCTGGTTGGAGACGAAGGGGAAGAGGTGACGATGCAGACGAGAGCGATGGGGTGGAGCCCAGCCGGGCGCGTGCGGGCGTGGTTGCGTCGCTGCGGCAACGTCCGTCTCCTCTTTGCGCGTACCGCGTAGCAAGCGACGGGGGCACCTGCTCCACTGACGAGGGATCCGGGCCGTCCGATTGGGACACGTGGACGGCAGATCGGGGATACTTTGGGGGTGGTTAACGTCGGTCACGGTTGGATCGATTCCGCCTGACGACGGGTTTTGCTGTCTGCTATGCAAACTTGTCCGTGCCAGAGACTTCTTCCGTTTGCTTCGCTCGAAAGGAAATTCGGATTCCATCTCCGGTTCCGACGGCCAGGATTCCATCTCCGGCTCATCATAGGGCGTGGTTGATTGGAACATTGGGTGATATACTTCCAAGTTAGGACGCCTTTTTTGCAACAAAAGATTCATGAAAGAATTTTGTAAATTCTAAACCTATATGAATTCTTCCTGTGTACTAGCTCTCTGGGACAAAGGATAGACCATCCTGAAATCCTATAAAATTCCTATGGAATGTCTCAATACATATTGAAGAGAATCTAACATGAGATCCAACCTTTTGAAAATTTTCCTCGGTGTCTATCATTCTTCTCTGTTCCCTCCATTCCAAATTATAAGTTATTTTAACTTTCTTAAAGAGTCGGATCATCTCAAGTTTTGACTAAATTATAAGTGCGGAAGCGGGAGATTGGCACTGCGCGCAGGAGGGATGAATAGCTTATTAAAATTTCCCTTCAAGGCAACAATAATAGGTGCAAGTATTAGAAACCAAGAAGGCCCTAATAACAACTACAACGACCTACTCCCTCTGTCTCTTTATTTGTGTCGCTTTGGCATTTCAGTAGGTACAGTTGAATCTCTGTGAACGTGGTCACTAAGTCTGTCCAGATGCTTGGTAGGGGCTGTGAATGTGGAGATTGAATTCCACTACCACAACGACAATCAAACAGGGACAGAGGGAGTAGCTAGCAAGGCTACAAGGAGCACACTCCTACACGGTTTTAGTGAGCAAAGAATAGAGCAACTAAGCTACACATTAGAAGTTAGTCAACTACACAAGCAACTGAATGCACAAAGCATAAATAAAAGTGTAGATTGTGCAAACCACAAGTAGAGGATGACACAAGATATATCCCCAGTCGATGACTTTCCAGTCATCTACATTCTCATTGAGGCGAGTCCAATGATTACCACTCCTCTACTAGCTCAACGGTCCCTCGAGATCGGCTCCGACATGAGCACTAGTATATGAGCCGACTAATCATGAGGTACTCCAACAAGTCTCGTACCGCTAGAGTTACTCTTCGCCTCGCCAGATGAGCACAAGAGCCCGCCACAATCGAAGTCCCGAGTACCTCACAATCCCCAATTAAGTGCTTCAAGGGATCACTGCTGCTCCAAGCCGTCTAGGTGGCAGCAACCACCAAGAGTGACAAGAATCCGGCAACAACACACAATCACTAGTGCTAGATCAACTCCAATCTCACCCAAGTGAAATTTAAACTAAGTAAAAGTTAGTGGAAAGGTTTCTTGAGTTCTATAAGGTGTGGTTATCAGATAGGAACACTAAGAGGGCCAAATAGCCTGACCACATCTTCGATTTATAAAGCCCCCTCAATAAACTAGCCGTTACCCACTTAGTGGGTTGGCCGTGTACTCGCTAGAGAGCTCTAGTAATACCACCGGAGCTCCAACAGCTATATCAAACTAGCCATTGGATGCCCTAAACTCTAGTGAGCTCTCTCTCGTGACCACCGCAGAGCTCCAGTGGGCTCTAACTCACCCAAACACGCTAACAAACACCTCTTTGCACTAAAACGCCGATGATCACTCCGATACTAGCACTGAAGGGAACTGGTGCGCTCTAGGGAGTTATAGATAAGGTTTTTAGGCCCGCAATAATCTCTAGTGACTAAGCATCATACCTTGAGTCGCTCTCGGACTCTCAATCTCAGAGGTCTTAGAGCAGCTTTAGTGTGTATTTTTTAGGGTGTTAGGCTGCTAGGAAGAGAGAGTGACAAAGAGAGTGCAACATACTAGATATGAACTTTCATCCGGTGCTATCTCAACATCTGGTGCCCAACTTTGCATCTATTGCCCTTGTTTAGAAAATTATCTCAAACTACTCCACATGCTTCATCAGATGACCATCATGACACACATCGTGCCACCCTGCTACCGTGCTCGCAGTTAGCATTGTCACGTAAAAGGTTTCTGTGCTAATTTTCTTAGGTCAGTTTGTCACAGCTCCGCTCCTAGCTTCTCCGGAGCAAATTCTATGAAGTCCAATCCTACCAAATAGATAAAATGCAACTCAATTTTTGTGGGAACTAATAAGATCATTTTCTCCATTTACACTATGAGTCGGGAGCTAAAAAAACCTTGCTCTCTGTAACTTCCCGTTCAATTACTACTAGAATCACTTTAGAATTACTTCCCACATGCTCCTCTTCATCAAAGAATTAAGAAGTGAAGCTCAATAATCTCGAAAAGAAGGTCCGCCAAACTGGCCCTTGATGTGGATTCTTCTTGGCACTATCTTATGTCCTAAATAATAAGGATATGTTTGGTTTAGTTTCTGAAAAGTGCTTTGATAACTAAAAAGCAGAACACAAACCAAATTATTAGAACCTAAAGTTACTTTCTCACAAGCCGTTGTTTTCGTATAGCACAATTTTCGCAATATCATGGACCTTGCTATCAACTTTCTACTTTTTCCAAATAGGTGAAAAATAGAGAGATATTTCTCACATGATTAAAAAAGATAGAGAGAGATGATAGATTTTATAGTTATTTCAACTAAACAGATTATAAATCAACTTTTTGGTAGCGGCAGCACTAGCGCTCAAATGTCAGGATGGACCCCCGCTTTCGGACGCCAGTGCCTGCTTTAACGCCAGTGCTAGCGCCTGATGCACGCACAGGCAGGCCCTGCCTGTGCCACTCCCCCACGCTTCCCTGCTTCCCATGCCCTGCACGCCTACTGCACCGCTTCCCTCCATGCATGACGCCCCAGCAACTGCAGTAGACAGCTACGACAAAGTGTCTCACATTGCAACATGCACAACACCCCGATCTACTTTTAAAACATTCAAATGAAATAATTGCAACATACGTATGAAACAACAGAAAACATTCAAAACTTATGTCTAAAACACATGCAAAACACATTAAACACATGAAAAACACTTGAAAAGCAATTACAAACACAAACAACATCCAGATAAAATATCTGCAACATATGTTCCAAATAAACAGAATTGCAACCTACGTCTGAAAAAATAGATGAAACATTGAGAACAGACACTTGCAACATACGTATAGAATCATTGCATAATATACAATATCCCGATCTACTTTTACAACGTCCGCATGAAATACTTGAAACATACCTATGAAACATCTGAAACACTTAAAACATGCACTTGCAACATAGGATCAGGGCTGGTGATTCCGGTCGTCGGTTTGAATTTGAGTCATGAAAACACCACCACCACCAGCGCCATCACTAGCAGCACCGGGTTTGGCTCAACCAAAAGCGGCCTTGCGACGTGGCAAATGGCGTGACAGAGTGGCGCGAGATGGGCGCGACACAATGATGAAGTGAGTGGAGTGGGCGCATCGTCCGACAGGAAGGCCGCCGATTGGAGAAGGCCAACAAAAGCATGGATGGATCATGCAACTGGGCGGAGCTCATGCGGGCGGCAATGGGGAAAGAAAATATCGCTTTGTTTTTTATTTTTTTTGGAGAAACTACGTCGTACTTTCATTTTTTTTGCATAAACCACGTCACATTGGAGGTGGAGCGGAGTTAGGCCTGATCGTTAGGCAGATCCGGGGATGAGCCGTCCGGACGAAACACGCCTCGACGGACGCCCGTGTGCCAGCTGAAAGGTCCTTGTTGGTTTTGGTAATTGAGTGACAACCTAGGTGGACTAATTGTGTTTATGTGAGATACACAGGTGATTAGTCCATAGGTACACATGTATGAGCAACATATGCCATGGAGGTGAAAATGGCTTGGAGATGTTGCAAAGCTCACACATATGATGATGAAGGAGCTTAACGCACATGAGACAAGACATTGAGTCATGTGATCAAGGTGGAGAAGATCAAGACAAGACTTGGCTTGATGGACTGGTTGCAAGCGTGAAGGACAAGTCAAAGGCTTTGGAGTGATGGACCACGTGGCGGTGAAGCTTGAGCAAGACTTGGCGCCGATGGACGATAGCAACGGTGAAGAGCAAGTAGAGTCAAGATTGATGAACCAATATGATCATGTGATGATATGAAGTGGATCATATCATTGTTGATAGTGTTGGTGCATGTGTTGCATCGACATTGGAGGAGATGGAATGGAATACGCAAGGCAAAGGTATAACCTAGGGCATTTCATTTCACCGGTCATAGGTGTGCAGAGAAGTTTATGACCGGATTTAGGATAGATGACCGTACTATCAAGAGGGGCAAACTTGTTTGCATATCGGTCATCTAGTGCCACTCGAGTGATCTAACTTTGCATTGTCGCTAGGATCGAGTGGCGTGGCAAGTTGAGTGGCTAACATCCTTTGGAAAATGATTGTGAAAATGCTAACACACATACACATGGTGGTGTACACTTGGTGGTGTTGGCACATTTACAAAGGAGGTGGTGTTTGCAGGGGTGAGATGGGTTCGGCGCTTTCGGGAAAATAGAATGCCTATTTTCTATTGCGCCGGATGCAAGTTCTTGTGGTTAGCACATTGGAGCAAGGGTGATGAAGTTAGAAGTGAAAACAAGTTAGTCGCGCGAAGATCTTTGGCGCCGGTCAACCGACCGGATATTTGGATCTGAATGCACTTGAGATTTGGCAGTACGTCCGTCCGTCAGTGACGACTGATGGCGACGCAGAAGTGGAGGTGACCGGATTTGGTGCGTCCGATCAAGTGTGACCGGACGCGTCCGGCCGAGGTCGGATCTTTATCGGAAACGACCGGACGCTGGGGGTTCAGCGTCCGGCCGATTGAAAGCCGCAGCGTCCGGTCAAGTCAAGTGGCCGTTGAACAGGACACGTGGGCGTCTGCGGGCACACGACGCCGAGTCAGGCGTCCGGTCAACATGACGGAGCGTTGTCGGCCCGACCGCTGCTGATGAAGGGTAAGCGGCTAGTTTAGCCCTTGGGGCTATAAATAGAAGTGGCCCTCGGCCATGGTCGGATGTGAGCACCTAAGGGGACTTAGTGTCCATGCTTGTGAGTGCTTGGGAGCCCTCCATCACACATATACTTGATAGTGATCATTCGATTGTGTGAGTGAGCGATTCTAGTGCGATTGCATCGTGAGGTTGCATCGAGTGGCACTAGGTGGTCGTGTTGCAAGCCGGTATGGTGCTTGTTACTCTTGGAGGTTGCCACCTCCTAGGCACGCTTGGTGGTGGTCTCCGTCGAAGCCCACAAGAAGCTTGTCAGCGCGCTCGGAGAAGTGCTTGTGAGGGGCATTTGCTCGCCCCATGATGAGAGCCAACTCTAGTAAAGCGTGTCATTGAGCTACCCTCACTCAAGGGGTAGGTTCTTTGCGGCGTCCGACGTGCGGGCTTAGCGGGTGATGCTAATTAGCCGCCGAACCACCAAGTGAGCGGTCGACACAACGGAGACTAGCGTGTTGGCAAACACGTGAACCTCGGGAGAAAAATCATCGTGTCAACCTTGTTCTTCCCGTTGGTTTGCATCCCCATTACACAAGCTTGCAATTACCTTTATACATATTAAGCTTGTGTAGTTGCTCTTGTAATTAGATAGCTTGTGTAGCTTGCTAATTATCTTCTTGCTTGTGTAGCATAGAAGTAGCTCCCTTGTGTGGCTAATTTGGTTTTAGTAACCTTGTTAGTCACATTGCTTAGTTTGTGTAGCTAAGTTTTTGCGCTTTCTAATTAGGCATCGGTTGCCTTGTTATTGAGCTTTGCTAGTGAGCTTAGTTGGCTTTGTGCTTTTGCTTACTAGCATGTGTAGGAGCTTTCTTGTCGCTTAAAGTAGTAGTGGTATAGGTTTGTGTGACCTTGCTCCTAGAATTGCTTAGGTGAGCTCTAGCTAGCCCGGTACCTTAATTGCTTAATTAGTATATTTGAAAGGTGCTAAAGAACATAGATAGAGGGGTGTAGTCTTGGCTAGACCGATAGTTTTAATTCCGCATTTATATTGGTTAGCCGACGCAATTAATTTTAGAAAAGACTATTCACCCCCTTCTAGTCCGCCATCTCGACCCTTTCACCAGCATTATGGTTTTGGTAGCATGTAGCCTCTATCAGTTTTTTTTTCAACGGCTGCCCTTGTTTAGTTTTCAAAAACTTTTGCCAAAAAGTGCTACAGTATCTATCACATCGAATCTTGCGATACGTGCATGGAGCATTAAATGTAGATGAAAAAAAAACTAATTGCACAATTTGGTTGAAAATTACGAGACGAACGTTTTGAGCCTAATTAGTCCATGATTGAACACTAATTGTCAAATAAAAACGAAGTGCTACAGTAACCAAAATTACCAAATTTCACAAACTAAACACGCACTTATGGTTCATTGCAGTTTTTTCGCGAACATAGCCCTCGTGATGCTACGGATCTTTTCTCTGGTCTCCACCGCATCAAATACGGCATCAGCGGTAGACGGCGTCTTTATTGACGTTGGACGTGCTCTCACCCACGGGCCACGGCCCTGCGGGCCCTGTCCTCCCTCCGCAGCAGGAACCTGCACGGCCACAGAACCAGCTGGGCCTGCAACGGCCCTGGCGCACCGTGCAGTCGGCTGTCACCCGTTACCCGTAGCCTCGGTGTCACCAAGAAAAAACAAAAAACGTCTCGTATCGGCTTTCCGTTCCGTGACTTTGGTTCTCGCGCCCACGGCACGCGCCATTTGTCCACCCGCCCCCTATGCCCTATGGCCCTATCCAACCTTCCTTTGCTTGCCCGGACCTTATTTAGATTGCCTCAAAATTTTAAGTTTTTTTTCACTCTTTTATCATTACATCAATTTTTAGACGTATGCATGGAGCATTAAATGTAGATAAAAAATAATTAATTATACAGTTTGGTTGTAAATCACGAGACGAATCTTTTGAGCTAGTTAGTTCATGATCGAACAAAGTTTGTCAAATACAAACAAAACGTGCTACGATGTCCAAATTATAAAATTTGCAATGTAAACGAGGCCCTGCTGCCGTTTGCTTCGCCGCCTCGTGTCTTCTGCAGCTGCTCTTTCCGTGCCGTCGAAGCATAGATTCGGCTGTGGGCGAGCACGGACAAAAACCTGCCCTTTCCGTGCTCTCGCGCATTTCGTTTCTTGGGGGAGCAGGGACTCTTCTTGCCTGCTGCAGGAAGATTGCCTGCAGTTTCTGGTCCTGTTTCCGTTTCCTCCCGCTTCAAATCTGCCAAGCTTCAAGGTTTCCTTTTGGTTCCAACAAGAAGCGAACAAAAAAGGAGTTTCATTTGGGGGAAGGAGGGCGGCCCCCAGCCATGGGGAAGCCGCCGGGGGCCAGGAATCCGCCTGCGGCGGAGGCGGACGGCGACGAGGCGGTGTTCCTGGAGCTGTCGCGGGAGCTCAAGGAAGAGGCCACCCGGCTGTTCAACCGGGGGGACTTTGAGGGCGCGGCGTTCAAGTACGACAAGGCGGCGCAGCTGCTCCCCGCGGGGCGGCGCGTGGAGGCGGCGCGCCTCCGCGCCAGCGTCGCGCAGTGCTACATGCGGATGCGCCCCGCGGAGTTCCACCGCGGCATCCACGAGTGCAACCTCGCGCTGGAGGCGGCGCCCCGGTACAGCAGGGCGTTGCTCCGCCGGGCCGCCTGCTTCGAGGCGCTGGGCAGGGCCGACCTCGCGTGGGGCGACGTCCGGACGGTCCTGCGGTGGGAGCCCGGTAACCGCGCCGCGCGCCGGATCTCGGACCGGGTAAGGGCGGCGTTGGAGGATAAGGGTGTCTCGGTTGCCTTGGATGAGGAGGATGTGGTGCCGACAGAGGATGAGGATGAGATTGCTAGCGCCAAAGGAGAGGAGAAGAGGAAGAAATCTCATAACAAGCGTTTGGATTCGGTTGCAGGGGAACAGGAGGGGGGAAATGGAAATCATATTGCGCCACTGGAATCTGCTTCCACGGAGAAGCAGGCTGACCCGAGGCAGACAAATGGGATAGGGAATCATCAGGATCGTACTGAAGATAGAGAGCCCAATGGTCTCGAGAAGCTAGAACAAAGTACTGAGACTGAAGAGAAGGACATGGGCAACAAGCGAGGTGGACACACTGCTGGAAAGAAGCCGGGGCGTGGTGAGAGCAAGCAGCAAAAGCATTCTGCAGTCAAGCCAGTGAATCATTGTGAGGACAACATTGGTGTCAAGGAGGAAGCGATGAAGGATGTGAAATTGGTCTTTGGAGAGGACATCAGGTGTGCTCAGATGCCAGCTAACTGCTCTCTGTCACAATTAAGAGAAATAGTTCAGAGCAAATTCCCTTCATTGAAGGCATTTCTGATCAAGTATAAAGACAAAGAAGAAGACTTGGTGACAATAACCTCGTCCGAGGAGCTAAGCTGGGCAAGTAATCTTGCAGATTTGGAAGGGCTAATCCGATTATATGTTGCAGAGGTTAATCCTGTGCAAGAGCTTGGTGTGGATGGGGTCAGGAGACGTCCTTCCTTTGCCACGTTAGAGAGAAACCGTCATAATGGGACCGTTTGGCATGATGTTGAGCATAAGTATTGCGCTGATGACTGGATGGTACAGTTTGCCCAGATAATCAAGAATCATGTTGGTTTTAGTTCTGATGCATATCTGGATCTCCAAGACCTTGGCCTGAGACTGTACTATGAGGCTATGGAAGACACAGTAGAAAGTGAAGAAGCACAGGAAGTATTTGAAGTTGCAGAGTCGAAATTTCAGGAGATGGCAGCACTGGCATTGTTTAACTGTGGCAATGTCCACATGTCTCGTGCAAGAAAAAGGCCATGCTTGCCTGAAGATTCTTTACAGGAGTTTATACTTGAGCAAGTCAAAGTTTCATATGATTGGGCATGTACAGAATATGCCAAAGCTGGCGTGATGTTTGACGAAGCTGTTAAAACTAAATCTGATTTTTTTGAAGGTCTTATTGCTCTTGGTCAGCAGCAATTCGAGCAGGCCAAACTCTCTTGGTATTACGCTCTTGCATGTAAGATAAATATGGAAACTGAAGTTTTGGAGTTGTTCAACCATGCAGAGGATAATATGGAAAAGGGAATGTATATGTGGGAAAGAATGGAAACTTTGCGCTTGAGGGGACTGTCTAAACCAAGTAAGGAGAAAGTTGTGCTTAAGAAGATGGTCTTAGAAGGTTTTGTGAAGGATCTATCAGTAGATGAAGCATTTGAACAGGCTTCAAGCATACGGTCACATATAAATATCTTGTGGGGAACTGTCCTTTATGAACGTTCAGTAGTTGAATTCAATTTGGGACTTCCTAGCTGGGAGGAGTCACTGACTGTTGCCATGGAAAAATTTAAGATCGGAGGTGCTTCTCAAGCTGACATCAATGTGATTGTAAAGAACCATTGTGCTAATGAAACCACCCAAGAAGGTAAGAAGATTTCGTTTTGACACATAATGTGCAATTACTTATTTTTCTGCCTTTGTTCTGAGGGACTCTTAACAAGAATCTAACACTTCTTTGTTAAAATAAGGATCATGAATTTATTTTTAGGAACTTCTACAAATAATGCCAAAAGAGAAACAATACCTGAGTATAAACACAACTAGGATATAATTGTAAACCCCCTAGACTGAATAGAATGGATGGGATCTGACATAGTTCCAAGTATTTTGTGAGATCAGCTAAGTTTCAAATCTGCATGTCCAAAGAAGGTTGTAGGCATGCACATAAGAGATTGCGAGCTAAACAGAACTGTTATTTTGCCTATATTCACTTATGTTGCATTGCAGTTGTATGTATATTTTAGATTATTTGTGACAATATCCTTACGAATGTAGCGACTACTACTGAATACTCGTGTTTTGAGAATAAAGTGCTAAGATATATTCCCTTATGCAGGACTCAGTTTTAAGGTTGAGGAGATAGTTCAGGCGTGGAATGAAATGTATGATGCTAAAAATTGGACAAGTGGACCCCTGTCTTTCCGCCTTCAACCAATATTCCGACGTAGAGCTCCGAAGTTGCATCATATACTGGAGCATCTGCACTATGCATAACTCCGCTACTATTGTATCAGGTAATTTTCTACATAGGTAATTAGTTTCAAGAATGAATTCGATAGAAAAAATTATTCACAAACATATTTTTCAATAATTTTCTGATCTTTCTATAGCTAGTTCTTACATGAAGAAAAAAGATGTAAGAAAGACCTGAGAATTAACTCTGTCAAACATATAAGAACATAACTAAAAGTTCGGTTTTGAGAACAGAATACAAAGAAAAGTTATGTCCAAATATCCTATAGAATGGTTCGAACTTGTCTTGGTAATTATTCCACTTTCATAAATATCAAATCCGTATATATCTTCTTAGTTTGGTGGAAATTCATGGAACTTCTTGTCATTTGCATAGTACAAGATTTTGTGATATGTAATTTTAATTTGTAGTAATTAATATAAGTGATCTTACTAATCTAAATCACTTATATATCTCGATAAACTTTAGGTGTGTTAGTGTTAGGGTCCTAACACTGCAAGGTCTTTTGGAGTTGGCTGTAATCAAGCACTACAAAGACAGGGTGTGGGGGCTGTAAAGGACAACAGATACACAAGTTTCTACAATTTCAGTTAATGCGTGATAAAAAATTCTTGATCCTAAAACTATTATTTGGTTGTAGTTTAAGCACGAAGCACTACAATATTTATGTGGGAGCCCTAAAAGACAACACATACCCAAATTTCTGCAATTTCCGCTCATATGCATTGAAAAATCCTTTATCCAAACTCTTATAGTCAGCTTGGATCTAAGCAAAAAAAATATTTCTATGCCCCCCCATAAAGGACAACACACACCCAGATTTCTATGGTTTTGGCCTATTGCAATGAAACTATTGAAGTATCTGAAGAAAATCAGTAAGTTATTCATTCAGAAAAGCTATTTGTAGTGTCTGAGAACAAAATTTATTTGAAGACACACTACAGTGCATTTTTGCAACAGTTTTGGGAAATTGTTTAATCTGGCTCAGGATAGCTCAACTACAACTCTTCTACGCGTCATATCCATTTTGGGGATCTGGGCACAATCTGGTGTTATAATGCTCTTTGGAAAAACTAACCTCCATAACCAGGGCAACTTCAGGATCTTCACTGAAGCTTTCTGTCAAGTTTTCTATCCTCCAAATATTGCACTCAGTACCAGTTATTACTTACACAGCTGCTCATTTGTGCCATTTTTGGGTGTGGAATAATTGTATTCTAGTGAGCAGCATAGGGAACAACAAGCCAGTGTAGGATCATGGCAATTGGGGCCTGAATCTGTTTGAAGATCAATCGGGGCTATAATAATGTAATTGCAGGATGGGTTGTTCCTGTGAAGCCAGTGTGTGATCAAGGCAAATTAAGAAGAAGTTGTGCAGCACCAGATTCTGACCTTGGCATTTGCTTCACAATCCTCATGTCATTAAGATGGATGCAAAAAATAGAAGTGTTGATGCACCAGCATCATTATATTATATATAAACACATCATCAGCGCCGCCAACCACATTCTATAATGGAAAACACAAGAGTGAAGGATGGTTATTTAGTCTGAACAATTGGAAGAGACCCACTAGTCTCATGCATAATTGCGGTTACCATCAAATGAAGGGTATTTTAGAACGAGAAAGTGTTCAAAAATAGATTTTGATCATTGCTTCATTTTGCATTATATTGTCGAGTGCTGCAAAACCAACAATCATTAAAAAAAATTGAATATACTAATTAGGTTGATGCAACTTTTGTACACTGAACATGCATATAATTTGACTAATTACTGGCCAACATTTGTAAAGTTTGTCTTTCTCAAAAAAAAAAAAATGCCCTACATTGATGAGCAAAACAAGTACTAGGTTACAAAGTGTTTGAAATGAAAATTAATTGATTTAAAAAATCATTACTCCATTTAGAGAAATGGTTAAAAATTTTGTATTACAGTTTTATATGTCCCACATATTATTTATTTTATATATCTGGATGGTTGTTGTTGTTGTTGCTCCACAGCTTCTGCTGGGTTTCAACTCTAGCCTACCCCAACTTGTTTGGGACTTAAAGGCTTTGTTGTTGTTGTTGTATATCTGGATGGTTGTACTTCCATGTACTAAATACAATACAATTTGTTTCAGTTTCTAAAACTGTTCTTGATGTTATTTTTCTTTTTGCAGGTTTGTTCATCTTTGAAGCTTTGTTTCACTTACTCATGGAAAAAATGAATAAAAGGAAAAGAAAAGCAATACTCAATTTGTTGCACTTATCAAGTCATAGATTTGCTCATTATAAGAAAAAAAAAAGATTTGCTGACTCTTGTGGTTGGCTGACCATGTAGCTTGCATTTTGCTGTAAAGTTTACTGGGTTTCTAACCATCTATGTAGTAGGTGGCATTATATATCCTCTCTTGAGGGATATTTTGCGTAGTGCTACACTTCCTTCTATTTTACTTGTGGAAGTGCTAAAAGTGGGTTTGTACTCTTAGGTCGCTATAGGAATGGTAGACTCGTGTGTTTTACTTAGAGAGTTTATTAGTAGATCAGCCAAAGTAGGTTACACTTTAACGACATGTGGATAGTTGATATTCAAAACAGTCGTTGTAACTTGTAGCACAGATGCTAGAGCATAGTGCTTTTTAAATTTTTTTCTTAACATACTGTATGTTTTTATTGTCAAGCTACTGTCAGATAAATGGCCTTATGTTTGTTACTGAATCTGTTGTGGATTCGTGAGAATTCACTTTGGGTTTGTGGAGGAAACATTAGCTATGCTTGTGAGGTAGCTAAAGGGAAGTGTGCATTATTTAAAGATGGTAATACCTTGGTCTGATTTAATTGTTGTTTAGTATATGTGCATTCTCGTATGATACATTTTTATCATATTTTAGTAAAAAACAAAGACGACAACTTTTGTGTAATGAGCTAATTGAAAGGAATACCAGGTGTGCGAAGACTACTTAGAGAGCCTTATGTTTGGGGCACAGACACGTAGAGTCATCAAATCACAGTTTCAGTTTCAAGTTTGAGTAGAGGAATGTGCCTTTTTTTTAGAATTGAGTTTTGAGTCGGTTTTGCTATGTAAACTTGATCCGGTCGTTTTGTAATAAGTTGGTCTGATTCTCGTCCTTAGAGGATGAAGCTGGATGTTTCTATCATCTAAAAATGGTCCAATGCAGATGTTGTATGGTGCTACATGCAATCCAAGGTCGATAGTAAAGCTATTCCACATGCATCGGTGATCTTATGAACTATTACACTAGGTACCAATATAAGACTTGCTAAAATCTTTCAAAATTATCGGCTCTTTGTAAGGTTGAGTTTCAGCCTCGACTTGCAAAACTTCGAAGTCCTACTACATGTGTTTATCGCCTTCATCCTTTGCCAAACATAAAATTATTTTACTGCTACATTTGTTACAAGTTGTTCTCGTCATGTGTTTGTCCACTGAACTCATCGTTGGTGATTGGGAGTTGCTAGTGCTTAGGGCACGTTCCGATCGGATACCGATCCTTCGCATGGTACCGTGGCTGCAGCAGAGAGCCCATCCACGTAGCTCCCACGCCCATCCTGCGCCCCATCCCGCCATATCCGCAGCGCCCGCATCACCCGCGGCATCCCGTCCCTTCCAACATACGTTTGTATCCATTGCAACAAATGAACATACAGAACTACTTTTTACAACACTTCAGATGAAACACTTGTAATATACATCTGAAATAGATGAAATATTTGGAACGTACACGTGCAACATACGTGTGTAGCCATGGCAACAAATGCAACATCCAGGTTTACTTTTATAACATCCAGATGAAACACTTGTAATATACTTCTGAAATAGATGAAATATTTAGAACATACACTTGCAACATACGTGTGTAGCCATGGCAAAAAATACAACATCCAAATCTACTTTTGCAACACCCAGATGAAATACTTATAACATACGTTTGAAAAAGATATAACATTTGGAACATACACTTCAACATACGTGTGTAGCCATTGCAACAAATACAACATCGAGATCTACTTTTGCAACATCCAAATAAAATATTTGCAACATACGTCTGAAACAATTGAAATATTTGAAACATACACTTGCAACATACGTACGTAGCCATTGCAACAAATGCAACATCCAAATCTACTTTTGCAACACCCAGGTGAAACATTTGCAACGTATATCTGAAACAAATGAAACTTACACTTGAAACATATGTGTATATAGACATTGCAACATATGTACCATCCAGTTCCACTTTTACAATATCCATATGAAATACTTACGATATACATCCAAATACACATGAAACACTTACTTTTGCAACATCCATTTTAAAGCGCAACATCTCTTTCTGCTTGGGCGAATGGAAGCTCGTTAGCATGTGGAGTTCACTAGTGTAGAGCTCTTCGGTGGCGCGGAGCTTGCTGGCAACGCAGGGCTGGGCAGCGGCGCTCAGAGGGCAAGGTGGGGGCGGCGCAATGACCAATGACACAGAGGGCGGGTGGGATGATCGGCAGGCGCCCGGACACCGAGGAGAACGCCGAGGGGCGCGATGGATGTGATGACACAGAGGCAGGTGGGAT